AGCAGAGATAAACAAAATTATTATAATCGCCAGGCGCAACGGTTGAAATTGTACCATAAACTTTGAATTCTATTAATTTCTTTTTTTGGATGAGACATCTTGTATGTACGTAGGTCTTATTAGCAGTTTTTTTTATTCTGCAGCAACAAAATCATACGCTTGTTGTGTAAGGTTTTTATGGATGGCGTGTGTTCTCAAAAACATTAAACTATATGCACATGTGCGTAAGGTTTTCTTTATTGATTAAATATTTGTCTAAGCATTATTATAAAAAAGATCGTTATGGCAACCTTATCCAACTGAACTTTAATTGTACGAAAACTACTCCACTCCATCTACGCAATTTCCGTAAAAAGAAGTCCTTAGTGTCTGCTTCAAGAATTAATATTTTCTTCTTTTCTAAATATAACGTTAGCAGTCAAGTTTAGACTCAAATGGGCAATGTAATATAGAACATAACCACGCATTGTAAAGCAATAACACTAGTATTTAATTAAAAATAGGCAAATTAATTCTTTAGATATGTTTCTTTTCTGCCCTCTACATAATTTCACTAGGGATCGACGAGGCCCTTCTTTTATATAATTACTTATAACTCGGCCTTCATATTGTCAATTTTATCTCCTTAGTCACACTTCTCAATTTAAAAAACGTATTTATAATTTTGAAGTAAACTTATAAAAACTGAAATTTTTACACACATTTTAGGCATTGCCTTAATATATAGTATGTTTATTCGATTACTACTAGTGCTTTATACACCATGAAAATTTTAAATAAATTGAAATTCCTATAAAAGCTTACATAATATTATATTATGCACTTAAATTATTAAAAGATTTGGCTTAAAACAGACGAACAATAATAATTATTTATAATTTATTTATAATTATTTTTAATGTTGAAAAAATATTTATCAGCGATAAAAACATACCGCAAAAGCTCGGTTTCAAACAAAAGGTACAATACCCTAAATGTTTCACATATGCAATCACGAGAAGCAGTCGCGAAACCGCCAAACAAATAGTCATAAAATTATATAGGTACCTACGTAAGGCGTCCCTGCTTTCGAGCTAGGGTTTCCAGCCAGGATTCGAGACTCATACCTTTTTTGATATTTCGTAACATTGTTCTCGGTTGTTTAACACTTGCTTCGACCTTTGATTTTACATATTTTACGAAAAAAGTTATTAACACTATGTATCTTTTAACTTAAATTTATGTTTATTCACTTTTTCTATCTACGCTATTAGAAGGAACAGTTCTAACATTATTTTGTGTCCCACAACTGCACAAAGCAATTGACATAATTAATTTTATATTTTATTACGTAGTTTTTAAATTTAGTAAAATTATTATGACTTACTTTTTGTGTAGATTAATATTTAATCAATTTACTTAGGGTCTAGTCTCAGTTTCAAAGTTATCAATTGAGTTGCGAGTGGGAGCCCTAATTCGAACGCACGATTTAAAATAACCTCGCCATGTTCACTGGCAGAATTCGTTTTACAGTAATCTGAAGCTAGAAGGGTGATAAAACCTTATCCGCTTTATGGAGATATTAAGTAAATGTTTTTTTTTTGGGTAGCACTTCACTTGATGACGGCTAGACTGGTTAGCATTTTATTATTTTCAAATAATATCGTTACTAAATAAAATCTCTTTATAAAAATAGAATCAACTTCAAACTTTTAAAAAATAATAAACAATACTTATAATAAAAGCGACTTATTCAAGAAAACGCTATTGAAATCGGGCGGAAAAGCGACTTATTCAAGAAAACGCTATTGACATCAGGCGGAGATTTCTGTAGGTTATTAATAAGATGATCGGCGCCAGACTTCAATAACATTCATTTTCTTGAATAATGGCTGTTTTCACTAAACTTAGGAATGAACCAATTCTGTCGCCTAAATATATAGGAATCGCCTAAGGAAATTAAACAATGTCTTAAGTTATGAGAATGAGAAAATATTTAATATAGATAGTGAAAGTTATAGAATTCTTTAAAGAGGAAAGATTTAATTACTTGTTCGATCGCATTGGATAATAACAAAACACATATAAACTCTTTTAGCGTGTTCTTAAGTAATCATTTACTTACGAAAATAATCACTACTGACATGAAATTTTTTCGGTTGTTAACTAACGAGACTCACCGAAATAATAAAAATAAATATTTTCACAAACAGCCATGGAAGAAGCATGAATAATAATTAGACAGTAATATTGTGGCCAGCTGACACCTACGTCGATTATTTCTTTAGTACATACTTAAGATAGCTGATAAATAGCTTTTTAATAAAGCTACACGCATCTCGCTTTACCAGTGTATCACTATTAGAAAAATTAAAACTTGTGTAGATAACAAAAAGAAGCTAATAAGGAATATCCCTAATAATAAATAAAAAAATAGCATAATGATATTTATAGTCACTATTTCCTAAAAGTTTTATCTTATTCTACGCTTTTTCTTTTCGTTTTCTGCGAAATCAATTCAATCAGTACCTTTTTTTCTATAAGAGTAGCTATCTAACCTCGTCATAGATTTAGGAATAAATCCATGAGAAGTCTGGATAGCTTTATCACAGATAAACTCACAAACAATATTCAACGTGTGCTTCTTTTGAAGATTGCAGATTGACTTTCAAACAATATTGATACTTAGGTTTAAGCCGTTAATTTATAATTCACTTCATTAATAGCTAGCTGTTAGTTGAAGAATTCCAATATTACAAAATCAGATGCATATTCCCGACAGTATGTAATTAGAAGTCAATCAGTGATCTAATTACAGTGCATTAATGTAAACGGGATGTTCTCTCGAAGCTTCCATAATATCCAACAGTTGATGCTAAGAGCTAATATATCGTGTTTTCATTAGATTTTATAATGCGATAATAATAGCACAAGAGCTCGTGACAAAAAGTGCAAGAGTTTATAAAGGATAGTACTTCAATATGTAAGAGTACTAAGAGTATAGATCACCCAAGGTGGAGGTTAAGTGCTACGACTCAGCATGTTTCAGAAGTTGTCAAGGATCAGCTCTGAAAATTAATTATCACAATTTGACATTTATTCATTAACTGAGACCGACAAATCTATTAATTTAGGAGTAAATTTACAAGAATCAAATAAATGACGCTTTAGATTTTTGGACGGACAAATAAAAAGGGTCTTACTTGCGTTTGATCTCAATACAGTTCCATCTCGTATAAGTTTTAAAATGCACTTTGTTTGTGTCGCAAAATACGATAGCAAAGAAATCAGTTTTTGCAGCGAATAATCCCTACTTCACTTCAAACTCAACCTTAATCCTGTCTGCCTTTACTTTATATGTTCTCGTCCCAGGAAAATGGCCGAGGTTTTGAACCAATATGTAAATCTCCGCGTTATCGTATCATGTCGCACATACTTAATTAGCCAGATTGTTCCAGCCATTCTAACTTTCTTATTAGTGAAGAGCTCTGCAAACATCAAATCGTTTAAAAAAATCAGAAATAAACTTTTTTATAAAATAAACGTTTTTTACGCACTCATCTCATTAACTTGTTTTACCAATTTCGCTTTTTTACGATGAATATAACATTTCAATAATAATTATTTTTATCCTGATAATCAGGATGCTAATAAAGAAATACCCATTAATGTTATGTAAAAAATAAGTTCACTCGCACTACTCTTATGACTTATTAATTGATTTTCCAAAAATATTTAAAAAAATTGCAGGAATTTGTTCCGGAAACATTTTAATACCTAATTTTGCCGTTGTATCAGATACAACGTCACTTTCACATTTTGTGCTGATTTATAATTAATACTCGCAATTTATAATATATTAAACTGGATTTAATATAGTAAGTTTCAATAGCAATTAGGACTATCGATAGGAAAGGCACCTCCCTACCAAAACAATAGCCCTATTGGCATGCTGTTTTTTTTTCTCCGCGGAGGATGCGGCGCATTCTATCCCAAGTTTATTTGCTTTTATTATTCCGATTGTTATGCATTCTGCCGTTAGAAATGTAAAACTTCTTGATGCAGCGCAAACTCGTTATAGAAATTGTCTACTATCTACAGACTTATTTTTTTACATAAATGTATTGCTATTTACGGAATCCTTTTTTTTTGTAGATATATGTAAAATTATGTAAAGTGAATAGAACGCAATATAATAATTTATTTGTTCTAGTATATTTTATATATGTGAATCAGACAAATGTATTGGTATCATAGAAATAAATTTTTGGCCTCCGGTAAATGGAGACAATCGTCAAGCCTATGGTACGATAAAATAAAATCAGTTACAATCGAAATTATTCATACAGACATATTTAAATAAATACAATTCAAATAAATTTTCATTAAAGTTAGTAAAATATAAGGACGTTACGGAAGTTTTCCATGAAAATATTTTCGCTACATTTGTGGGATGCCACGCGGCAGTTTTTGGCACGGAATTCTCATATTTAGAACGCAAACGATGCTATAACAAATGTGAGGTAATTTTGTGTGTAATTTGGAAGCAGTAATTTATGTAATTTAGTAATTTATGGCAGATTTGTCACTGCAGTTATAATATTTATAATTTACTGTAACCTTGGCGAACAGTCCTAAGATAAAAACATAAATTATTATATTTGATCAATTTTGCATTCACAATGCTATTCTTAACAGGATTAACAAATCCTTCAAACTGTTTGGGTGGATTACCTAATATAAAATTTTGAGAATTCGTTAAAAGTATGTTTTATTTAAAAGACCTTTGATAAAATAATAAAGGCAAGCAAGTAAAAAATAGTTCTCATTCACTCACATTCTCTTATTTTATTTACCGCGTCATACGTACCTACCCCATGATTAATTACAATTGTTTTAACGTTTAGGATACTCAAGCTGCCGCTGCAGCGCTCACATCCCTTGGACACGTTTACACAGCTATAGGGGATTACCCTAATGCACTAGCCAGTCACAAACAGTGCGTGCAATTAGTAAAGCAGATGGGTGACCGTCTACAAGAAGCGAGGGAGATTGGAAACGTAGGTGCAGTTTACTTGGCTATGGGCGAGTTTGATTCCGCTGTGGATTGTCACACGCAACATTTAAGACTTGCTAGGAGGCTTGGAGATCAGGTATGGATTCAAATAGGTACTTACATTCACTATTTTATTTTGAACCTTAACAAAAACAAACAAATTCTAAATAAAAATCCAAGAGATGATAATAGAAACTGTAAAGTAAATTTCTGATTAAAAGCGTTGATCTAATAGAGGTTTTGGATTTAAAAGTATTTTTATTATTTCCATAGGTAGAAGAAGCAAGAGCTTATTCAAACTTAGGTTCCTCTTATCACTATCGGCGCAACTTCACCCAGGCGATCGGTTATCACGAAAACGTTTTAAGAATTGCTCAAAACTTGGGAGACAGAGCAATTGAAGCTAGAGCTTATGCTGGACTCGGGCATGCTGCTAGGTAATATTAACGAATATACATCATCATAATATTGAAGTTTGTTTATTTTGACTCAATAATATATTTCAATTTCTTTCCAGATGTGCCGGAGATTACACGCAAGCTAAGAAGTGGCATGAAAGACAATTAGATGTTGCTTTAGCGGCCAGAGATAAGGTATAATGTTATGTATTTTATTTGTAAGAATATTGTTATGGAATATAACATACAATTTATGATTTTGTTATTGTTTTCAGATTGGTGAAGGAAGAGCGTGTTCAAATCTGGGTATCGTGTATCAGTTATTAGGAGAACATGATGCTGCTCTCAAATTACATCAAGCTCATTTATCTATAGCAAGACAATTACAAGTCAGTATCACATGGTTTTAAATAATTTTTGTATAAATACTTATTTGAAATAAAAGAGAATGCATTTGAAAGCTTTTTAACCTCATAATATTATGGACTGTGAGATGATAAATTAGTAAATCAACCTATAACAATTTTCAGGATAAAGCAGGAATGGGCCGTGCATACGGTAATATTGGTAACGCGTATTCCGCTGCAGGTTTCTATGAACAAGCAATAAAGTACCATAAGCAAGAGCTGACTATCTCCAAAGAAGTTCACGATCGAAGTTCAGAAGCATCAACGCATGGAAACCTTGCGGTTGCTTATCAAGCATTAGGGGCTCATGATATGGCATTATTTCATTACAGAGCTCATTTAGGTAAATGGCAAATCTTTATAAGGTTTAACGTTTTTATATCATAACTTCATTAACTCATATTCGTTATATAGGTATAGCCAGAGAATTGAAAGATGCTGCTGGTGAAGCGTGTGCTTTGCTAAACCTTGGTAATTGTTTATCTTCACGCGGTGAATTTGCTCAAGCCGTGCCATATTATGAACAACACTTAATGCTGTCTCAAGAGTTAGGCGATGTAACAGCTGAGGCCAAAGCTTGCCATTTCTTAGGATATGCACACTACTGCCTCGGAAATTATAGAGAAGCAGTGAGGTACCAAAGAAATATTTATAATAGAATGTTATTGTTGATCACATGATAATACCATTTATAAAAATATAAATGCATTTCTTTATTGTTTTTGGTTTTTTTTAGATACTATGATCAAGATTTATCATTAGCCAAAGACCTCCAAGACAAGATGAATATGGGAAGAGCGTACTGCAATCTTGGCCTCGCTCACCTTGCTTTAGGAAATTTAGAAACCGCCCTGGAATGCCAGAAATACTTTTTAGCGATCGCCCACATGACTCAACATTTACAAGGAAAATTTAGGGCGTTAGGAAATATTGGTGATGTTTTGATTAAAATGGGGGACGTGGAGGAAGCTGTAAAAATGTATCAAAGGCAGCTCGGGTTTGCTAGACAAGTAAGTTGTTTGAAACTGTTATAAATATTGTATAGAGTAAACTTAATATTGCACTTCTAAAATATTGTTAATTATTTTTATGCAGGCTCGAGATCGGTCTTTAGAAGCCGCAGCATGTGGCGCTTTAGGTTTAGCGAGACGATTGCAAAGAAGACTTGATGCAGCGTTAGGTCATCACACACAGGTAATTTCAGTTAATTGTTTTTAAAGCTATAGTAAAAAATTAAAAAAAAGCAAATGTTGTTCTAACGTGAATTAAGTCACAGTTACTAAAATTCTGTCACAGTAACTGAAATTATGCAGATTGCATGAAATTTTGTTTTCTTCTATATAAATATTTTCTTTAGGAACTTACGCTCCGACAAGAAGCTGGTGACGCTGCAGGTGAAGCGCGTGCACATTCCCACCTAGGAGCAGTCCACATGGCACTCGGGCATTACTCACATGCTGCGCGATGTTATCGAGTAAGATAACATTTTAGATATACAATTTAACAAAAAAAATCATAAAATAATCATATTTAAGAAAAAATTAACTGCTTTAGTTTACAACGATCGCTATTTTGAAATTTCAGGAGCAACTAGAAAGAGCTCAAGAATTACAAGACTGTGCTTTAGAAGCACAAGCGTACGGAAATTTAGGTATCGCAAAACTCAATATGGGACACTACGAAGACGCGATTGGTTATTTAGAGCAGGTTCGTGTTACTTTTTGACAAACGAATGGAATCAATTATAATAACTAATCATTGGAGTGAAATGTCCAATTACGTTTTATACGATAATATTAGAAATACTTTTTTAAATGCCAACATTCGCTCCATTCAAGAACCCGATCGTTGTGTTTCAGCAACTTGCGATTCTAGAACGAGTGAACACTACAACCTGTCAGCTAGATAAAGCACGTGCTCTTGGTTCTCTCGGTGATTGTTATGATGCTCTCGGCGATCCAGATGAAGCGGTCAAATATCATGAACAACATTTAGCGGCTGCCCTGAAATTGGATAACAAGAGGGAGCAAGAACGTGCATATAGAGGCTTGGGGTTAAGCCATAAGTAAGTTTAATACATCTAAAAGTCACATTGAGTATTAAGGCTAATGTTCAATAATAACAAAACAATTTTAATTCTTTCTTTTCAGGTCAATAGGCAATCTGCAGCAAGCTTTAGTGTGTCTTGAAAAGCGCCTTGTGGTATCTCACGAGCTCGGAGTACCAGAAGCGAAAGCTCAAGCGTATGGAGAACTTGGTGCATTACATATCGCACTCAACAATTTGGAACAAGCTGTTTTCTGTCTCGAACACCAGAAAAACATCGCCAAGTAAATAAATTAAAAATACCTTTGTAATATACATAACAGTTGGACATTTCCACTACTGTTTTCTTAACATTGCATGGAAATAACGAAAAAGAAACAAATTAAAATTGTATTCTTTCTACGTATATTATTCTGCTTCAAGCTATAAAAGTTGTCTAGAGAGAATTTCCCAATAGTGATTAGAATAGCCCTTCCATGCTTGAGATATTATATACACAGCAATATATCAGATAACGTCAATTGAAAAGCTGTAATATAACATTATTGTGTTTTATCAATTTTAGCATTTTGAAATGCTATCCTGGAAGTATAGCTATATTTATAAATATGCTTACATCAGGCTATATTCGAAAATAATTTGCCATCGTACAGGGAATTGAACAACCAAATAATGGAAGCGGAAGCCTGTCATTCACTGGGGATGGCTCAACATGCATTAGGTGAACACGCGGCTGCCGTGAAGCATCATCGAGCTGAACTCGAATTGGCACACCGCCTCGGTCTTACACATCTCCAAGTAAGAATGAATTCTTTCTTTTCCTCAATTGACTCAACCCTAAATCCTACATTATTATAAAAGCAACAAATTTCTGACTACTCACATAAATTCTGTAACCAAACTTATCACTGACTACTCTATCGACACCACATTTTCACGCATGGAAAATTATTCTGATCCGCCATCCCGACGAGTAATATCAACAAAACATTCAGAAAATTCTGAAAATTATCCAGGGTCTGTTAGCAATCAATGTCTATACGATTTTTGCTTTTTGTAATAATTCTATTATTTATAGTTTGAAAGTGTTTTCTTTCCGAACTCAATGTCGTTTTGATGTGATTTTAGGCGCGAGCATGTGGAGGATTAGGCGCCGCTCACGCTTCTATGGGGGCGCATGCGGAGGCAGCCCGTTGGCACGAGTCTCGTCTACGTCATGCCACTGCTGCCGGTATGATAAATCTAATAACTGTTTTAAATACATAAATTTTAAATTAAATTTACATCCTAACTACTTTAAGTGCAAAATTTCATTGAACTTTAAAGATTTCAGTGTAAATCATATCTTTTATTAGACGCGTGTTTTACAAAATATCGCATGAACTTTCAATATTGCCGGAAAACATTTATTTCACTCGTTTATAAATTTGTCAAGCGAATGGGATCATAAGGTATGGAGATTGTAGTATCTTACGACAGTTATAACTAAGTTATAGCTCGATAATTGTATTAATATTTCATAACATCTTATATCAGGAGACACTCGTGGTCGAGCGCAAGCACTGGCAGAATTAGGAGGAGCCCATCTGGCTATGGGCGCATGCGGGAGTGCTGTTTCATATCTCCGACAAGCCTTAGCTGCTACTGAAGGTCTAGGTGACATCGACCAGGAGGTACTTCTGTCATTTGTATACTATAAACGTACTACCACATATCAAGGTAGATAAAAAGACAATTACGATTTTATTTATTCTCGAAATCGAGAAACGATTGTCCCTCATAACATTTTTAATACATCAATAAATGAATATATATGATCTTTGAATTGTTGATTTTAATAAATTAAATTTGATTCTTTCTAGGCTCGAGTACGTCACAAATTAGGTTTCGCTTTATGGGCGTCGGGTGAATTAGAAGAAGCGAAGGAACAACTCCAGGCTGCTCTTACTGTTCTGGAGACGGGAGCGGACAAATACCGTGATAGGAAATTTACCGCACTATACACCTCCACACATCACGCCCTACAGAGGGTATTTGTTGGTGAGCCCTTAACTGTTTAGTTAGTTTTAATAGCTACGCAGGTACTAAAAACTACATTTAAAATTAAATCAAAACTTTTAAGATTGCAAGAGTAGCTATAAAACTGTGGGAAAAAAGTATTCAATTTGTAATTACTCGTCAGAACTGGGCCGCCATCCCGAAGCTCTAGTTGTAGCTGAGCGTGGGCGATGCCGAGCTCTCGATACACCGGATAAACAACCTGGAACACTGAGTCAAGCTAATCTCGAGTTACACGCATCACAGAGGTACAGTAACAAGTCATATTTTATGTCGAAGTTATTACTAAAACAACTGTAGAGTATTATAATAGCATAAAAATTTTGGCAACAGTAACCCTTCACAACCAAGATTCATAGCAACAACAAAACTATTCACAATCTAATCGATATTTCATGGTAATTATATTTCCCGCGAGCGGACGGCCAGTTACATCGTACCACGAATAATTAACGAACTACCCCCGGATTTAATACAGCTTATACATCCTAACAACTTAAAGAAATTACTTAAAGTTTATTACTAAGATGTGCTTGGTGACTAAATACTGTGCCAAGTGCGTGTTATTACTTAAATATTTAAATTGCTGTTGTTAATAATATGTTAATTAAGTTGTTGCCGATATGTTTTGAATGCATGTTTTATATAATTTTATTCCACATATGTACAAACCTTCTTGGTTTCTCTTCATGGCTTAGTTTAATTACCATGTTAAATAATTTTTCTCAAAGTGTAAATAAATTAATATATTGGGTTGGCACAAAAGTAATGAGACACACTAGAAAAATCTATAACATTTCCTTTTTAAAATCAATTTTTTCGATAATATTCTAGAATGTTGTAGAACATTCTAGGTACTTCTGGTGTAGGGTATATAAAGCCGCGCTCGCGATTTGTTTAGTCAGTTTGAAGAAAAATGGACGAGCGACAAGTTCGAACACTATACTTATACGAGTACTTGTTAGGCCACAGTGCGCGGGCTGCGGCTGACAATATCAACAATGCATTAGGCGCTGGAAGTACAAGCCATGCGACGGTGTCCTGATGGTTTGACCGTTTTAAATCAGGAGACAGGAGCCTTGAAAGTCAGCCACGCTCAGGGCGACCACCCGCAGTGAATGATGATGATTTGCGCCGCGAACTGCAGTTGAATCCCGATGCTACCACTCGTGAATTAGCGGAAGCACTTAAATGCAGTCACCACGCCGTGGAACACTATCTGCATGAACTTGGTTATCGAAAAGTTTTGGCTCGGTGGGTACCGCACATCCTTACAGACGCCAGTCGTGCAGTCCGTGTCGCTATCTGTCAGTCACTTTTGCTGCGACCCCGACGTAAAGAGTTTTTGTCAGATCTGGTTACTGGAGATGAATCATGGATTTATTACGAGAACGATACACGTGGTGCTTTTTGGCTGCCTCGAGAAGAAACGCCACCAACTCAACCGAAGCCGAGTCAAAAGAACCGCCGAAAAATTCTGCTTTGCTGTTTCTGGGATACGCAAGGCATACTGTTTTATGAGCTATTACACAATGAAACTATAAACGCTGACAAATATTCAACCCAGCTTACCAAATTATCTGCCGCTATCAAGAAAAAACGACGAAGACGAGTCAATGTAGTTTTACTGCACGATAACGCTCGACCTCACGTCGCATCTGTGGTTCGCCGGCAGTTGGAGAATTTGGGCTGGGAGACGATACCCCACCCACCTTATTCCCCAGACCTCGCCCCATCAGATTATCATTTGTTTAGAGCCCTGAAACAGCATTTGCGGGGTAAACAATTTAATGATATCTCTGACGTAGAGGCGAAGTTGAACAACTTTTTCGAGGCACAGCCATCAGAGTTCTGGGCAAAAGACATCCAAACTTTGCCGGATCGTTGGCAAGAAGTCTTAGATACTAATGGTAATTACATCATTGACTAAACTTTTTTTATTGTAATAATAATAAAAAAGTAAAAACTTAAACCAAGTGTCTCATTACTTTTGTGCCAACCCGATATATACATATATATTATGCTGGTTTCATGTAGTTCAGATATCACAGATATTTGTTTTTTCATTATGCGTTAGTAAAATAAAATTCGCAGCTATAAAAACAACTTGTCATTTAGGAGTGGTGCAGAAGACGTGACGAAAGATCGCATAGAACCCTGGAGTCCCTCAACATTAGATCAAGTATTAGAAGTTGTTAACAAACAAAAAGCTCCCGTTCTGTACTACAGTCTTGCGGCCGGACGCCTTTATGCTTGGCTTCTGCAACCTCATAAAGGTAAAAATTTCATAGACCAATTAGACATGACACATTTTATAATATTTTTGTGTTATGTCCTAAATAATAACCTAAAATGTAACAAAGCAAGAAAAAAATAACAAGGCTAACTTTGACATCAACAAAACTAATAATGCTTAGAATTTAAAATTACGAAATCACATGAGAGATAACAAAATTTCAATAACCCTTTTTTAAAAGAATAAGAAATACCTGATTGAGATAATAATTTTAATAGGTATCCTGCGCTTCCATCAAGTATCTCTACTGGAGGAATCGGAAGAAAGTAATAATAGCTTGCCAGACATAAACCCTGATGACCTTCAAACAAATAACAGTAAGTTTTTATTATATGTATATGTATGCCACGGATATTTCAACCCTTAACCTTTCAATTGACCTGAGTTGTTCAACCTGTTCAAATCTTTATTGTTTAATGTAATCTTGAGAACAACTTGCTGATTTCCTGAATCTGTTAATTTAGTAGGTGCAGACAAATTAGAAAGATGCATTAGCGAATGGTCTTCGTGGTTAAAGACAGCAGCAGAACGACGAGAAGATGAGCAATGGGAACCAGACGAGCGACCCAACACTGGTCTCACTAGAATGGTCAGTGACTGTATATATGTTAGACAGAGATAATGCCCATCTCATTCTCAATGGACAATATAGCTTCTAATATAGATGGTATTTGTATTCTTTATATCTAACTTATATATACTAAAAGTGCTTATCTGACGTCAACATAATTTTTATTTGTCTTGTACCCGCAGGTATCTCGTAACCATTTGTTAAACTCATCCAACTACTCCTTGAGTTCGCTATTCAGTGTTGGGTCAGTTGGGGGATCAGTTGCTGGCTCTGTTGCCAGTCTACAAGGCTCCACTAGGTATTAATTGTTTTAGTATATGATTTTTAAGAACTGTTATATATTAAATAATTCAACTCATTCCAATTTCCTTTAATTCACTAGATCAAGCGTACACGTGCCTCGCAAGAAGCCAGCGTCATGGCAAGGCCCACCTTGTCTCGCCGCTCTTTATCAGATGCTCTTAGCTCCCTTCGAAGATCTGTTGCCTGCGTCGTGTAATAATAACCATGGTAAATAAATTATTTTACAATGTATTAAGGAGAAAATATAAATCTAAAGACAAAAATTACAGTCATTGTGATATCGTCCTTGTATCCCTATATGAAGAACTGCTCTCCATATAGAGTATAAAACTAACGGAGTTAAGAATTGAACTGAACCATAAAAATGTATATGAACTGAATTAATATTTTATTCGATGTATGGATAATACGAAACCTGAGAAAAAATATTTATTTCTTTATTTTTCTATGGGGTTTTTATTCACATGGATAGAAATCCCAGGCGATAAACATTATTATTTATAACCAATCAATAGTAATATTATAAAAGGTATGACACTGGATCCCGGGGTAGGCTCATTCTCTCTGATTAATCCTTCCATAGGCAAATACATTTCAGCAGTGGATGTATTAATAGGTTGATGATAATGACGATCTATTGTAGTTCTAGATTTTTTTCTCAATGAACCCTAATTGACTGTATTTTTGACGACACCTAAAGAAATATTAAAGTGAGATTTTTTTTATGTCAGTCTTGAAATAAACAGATTATAAAAGAAAAAATATATTATAAGCATTACAAAGTAATTAAATATGGTTGTCTTTTCTACGATCGTGTGACCCTTCTACAGAGCCCTAGGGTTCCGCGGACCGTCTTTCGGAAATCGCTGATCTAATCATCATCAGCCCTTTTACGTTCCTACTGCAGAGGCTCAGACCTTCCTTATAAATAGTTTAGGAGTATGGGTCATGATTTTCCACGCTGGCCCAATGCAGATCAGAGGGTATTAACGACCGCAAATGCAGCCAGGACCAACAGCTTAACGGCTTCCGAAGCACAGAGATTTTTTTTCATCAACCACCCAGCTACTTGCGACTAGTGAATGAATACGACATTTACAATGTGTATTGTAGCTATGCACGGTCGGCGCGGGTGCGGCGGTCGCCGCGAGCTGGTGGTGGTGGTGGAGGGCGCGCTGTACGCGTGTCCGTGGGGCGCGCTGCGGCCGGCGGACGGCGAGCCGCTGTGCGAGCGGTACGCGCTGCTGGCCGCGCCCGCGCTGCGCCACCAGCGCGCCAGGCACCAGAGGCAGCGCGCGCAACATCACCACGGTCAGTACAAGCACGAACTCGGGAACGTTTTGTCTACACCTTAATGTCACTTTTCTCGGGTGCGCCCATACGATGTCATGTCATGCACGCGTCCTGAATATACTGCACTCAATACTATTCAATTTCCACATAAGGGGGGGTTAGCATTACCTCAAACACTGTTTGATTCAGTGAGCAGGATAGTGCTATACGGAACAATAGCGGTGTCACGGTTTTAATCGTTGTTTAAAGCCGTCGCCCGGATTGCGAAAAGTCGTTAATTCGAATCCTGTCTCGAAGTAACTGGGGCTGAACGATTTTAAGCATGTTTCATTAAAAAAAAAGAATTATTATTTTTTGTAAAATTTATTTGTATTAATTTCAAATTAATACAAATATCTTAAGGTTTTTAAAAACAATTAAATCTGTAGTTATTGATATCGATTCGATTTAAGCAATGCTAATTATTGAAGATATAAACCTGCGTTAATTACATAATATTCAAACCCCTATTTGAGTCCTATTAGGGCTTCAAATTTTAA